ACAATGTTTTATAGTCATATTCACCCTCTATACACCCTCCTCCCCAATCCATATACCCTTTCCAACCCACTCAACAATGTGTCACTTAAAACAAAAACAAAACAAAAGCAGAACCTATCAGGTGTAGTTGCTGTTGTTCATATACTTTTGGATGTAACTTTCACAGGAGCATGGTCTACTAAATTCATAGAAAACATACTACACCTCTCCGAGAAGCTATTAATTACCAATAGCTCCTCAGGTAGGGATGTAACTCAGTGCCCAACACTACCTAAATTGTCAAGCAGAAATTTTATCTATCTTGGAGCTGTACAGCTCTTTGGTATACTATCTGAACTGCCATGAATTAATATGTGCTACTACCCTACTTCATCTTGAAAACACCATTTCCTTATAGACATCCACAATTTCTGGTACTTACAATATTTCTGCCATGCTTCCCCAATACACTGTCTTTCTCTCTTATTCACGTCTTGTTGTATTAATTAAAAAACATTGCTAGCGACTGGGAGTTTACTTCCATTGGGATTATGCTAGAGTGTAGGTTCTACACTAGTAAGGGTTTTCCAGTGTTTTTACTAATTGCCTCAAGCCAAGAATTTAGGAATGTGTTTGACATGCTTGTAAATTCATGCTAAATAATTACATCTAGCTGAAAATAGGTCTCATGCTATGATACCATCAAATTCAGCTGTTTTAAGGTCTATATTTCTTTTAATAGATTATTTTCTTCCAATAGGTCAGAGAGATTTCATATTTGACTCAATCATTTTTCCTTCCACTGAGGTCAAAGCTCTTTTATAAAGCTGATCAGAAGCAAACTGATTGCAAGCATCATAGCATTCCTCTGTGGTTTAATGTCAATTGATGAATGGTGTGAGTCACGGTTTTAAGATTTAGAGAAAATAATAGTATTAGTCAAAGATAACCAAGCATTCACAGCACCTTTCAGCACTATGGCAACTAGACCACAGGGGTGAGACTTCCAGGTCCATACCAACTTGATTTCTCTCTGTTCCATGACTTAATTATGAGGCATCTTCAGAAATAGACTCTTAACAAGTTCTGAAAGGTCACCAAGAGCAGTGACAATAACAATAACCTGTAGCATTTGAAGGTCTATGAGTCCTCACTAGCCAAAATTTATTTTTTTGGTTATTTTTAGATTTTCTAAATTAATTTATTATTTTGAAATCCCATCCCAGTTCTCCCTCCTCTCCTCCTGGTCTCCCCACTCCCCCATCCCACCTCCCATCTGTTCTTGGGAGAGGGTAAGTCCTTCCCTAGGAGGTCTACTAGGTCAGTCCCATCATCTTCTTGAAGCAGGACCAAGGTTCCCCCCCTTGCACCCTTGTGTCTAGGCTGAGCAAGGTTATCTCTCCGTATGGAGAGAAAATTCATTCATGGCACTGGGTTTTTTATTAGCTTGTAGTGTTTATTATCAGTACTGTTGTCCTATACTCATATGAACACAATGTTGATAACATTTGAATTTGAACTTTTATTATATGTAAACTCTAAAAATTGAATATATATAATATTTAATTGTCAAGGTAAAATTAGATCCATAATTATCTAACAAAATGCTTCACAGCAGTAAAGCTGAAAAATCTCATGGAACTTATGTGTTTGAACATAGTTGTAAAACCAAATAGAGACAATATATTGTTTTTGAAGTTCTCATTGACTTCCTCAGAGAAGTAATTATTCTTTGTGTGTGTGTGTGTGTGTATGTGCATATGTGTGTATATGTATACCTGTGTATGTGTGTACATGTTAGTCCTCATTGATATGAGTGTGCATGTCAGAAGGACAGGGAATAAAACATCTTTCTTTTGGTTATATTACAGGAAAGATTAAGGTTCTCTTAGTGATGAGGACAAATGCCCCCTTGAAAAGTTCTGTAGACTTCTGTGACCAAATATTTCATAATAAAAATTTCAATATCATTTTAGTAAGACCAAAAGGCAGATAGAACTTTGTGAAAGTCTCATTTTGAATAGTTATGTTTCTGTTGGTATCTCCAGATTGGACCATGATGTACATAGATAACTTTAGACTTTTTAAGACAAGAAAAATTCTTTCACTTATTTCAAAATATGTCGTTATAACTGATATAAAAACAGTTCAAGCCCTGAAGCATGAAATTTGATTGCTAACTCATCTACTTTCATTGCTCCCTACACAGTATCATGATAATGTGTCTTCAAATTTTAGTGAGAGATTTATTTCCACTACAGATTAAAAACCAGCCATTCCCTCCAGAAACACATTTGCTGCTATCCTTTTAGATTAGCGGGAACTTTGTTAATAGCGTTTAATGTGGCTGCATCTGGATACAAGTTTGTTTATGCATTTCGAAATCACAAGCACCACAATTAGACATTCTGGCATTTGTAAAAACTCCACAGAATCCGAAGCTGTTTGCATAAATGTGGGGAAACCAAGACACTTATGAATATCATATTATACAACACAGGAGGATCTATTGTATTATGTTCATGCTAGCAAGTCTACTTTAGGCCCCATCCCAGAAACTCCAGCCTGAATACACAAGTCTGAATGCACATGCTTAAAATAGGGATAGCATGCATAGCCTCTATATCACAAAAAAGATATTCTTAAGCATAAGAACAAACATGATTGTTCATGGTACACACAGAGAGAATCCCTAATCTCCCCAAATTCATAAAAGAAGGGATTTATATAGACATAGAGGAAAAATTGAAGTCTAGAAATCTTAGCACTGGACAGAAACAACATGAATCTTTTTAAAAAAATTACCTTCCTTAAAAAGGAATATTTTATAGGCACTGACATATGGAATACAGAGAAAAATTTAAGAATTTTTAAAAAGGAAAAATACATTGGAAATCTATCTTATTATGGTGCTGTGATTCAAATCCACATAAAAGAGTGTTATAACTCTTCACTCTAGAGATTAACAATAAGAAAATACAATGGGATGAAAACATTTGCAATTTCACAATGTGAGAACTGTTTAAGAACAAGTTTGACAAGAAATGTAAAATATTTTTACTTAGAAAGTGAAAAATAGTATTAAGAAAGTTAAATTAAACGTGAATAACTACAAAGTCAGAGCATGGATTTTAACCTTGAAAGTTTAGTATTATCAGTGTATCAGTTCCCAAATTCATTCATTAATCCAATGGTAACCAGGGGATGTTTTGTGTGCTTAAATTGACTCGTTAATTCTAACTATATTTGTAAAGAATACTGGCCTTTGAGTTTAAGTGAATTAGAAAAGTGAAGTTGAAAGTGCTACACTTCCTAATTCAGAATTACTGTCAAGCATTTGTAATCTACAGTATTATATTAAGCTAGACTGCTAGACTAAATACCACAGAATTTTCTTAACATGTATGTATCAGTTGATCATTTTGTTTGGGGTTTGGGGATCTAGACTCAGGTGAGCAGGCTTGCACTGTAATTATTTTATGGGCTGAGCTAGTTCCCTAGTGCCAAAGTCTGTCTGTTTGGTTATTTTTCTTTCTCTTCCTTCCTTCCTTCATTCCATCCTTCGTTCCTTCCTTCTTTCCCTTCCTCTTTATTTCTTTCTTTCTTTCCTTCCTTCCTTCCTTCCTTCCTTCTTTCTTTCTTTTTTTCTTTCTTTCTTTCTTTCATTCTTTCTTTCTTGAGATATGGCGGAGAGGTGGTCTAGAGTTCACTATGTGAATAGGTGATAAATCTTGATGACTAGATTTTGACATCATGTTTTTCTCCAGAGACTTAAAGATAGCACATTAGAAAGCTTTTGTCATGAACTTTTGGTATTAGAAAGACGACGAGAAAAAGGAGAAAAATGTTGGTTCATCAGAATAAAAGTAAACTTGAACTTTGTAAGTAATCATAACCATGTAGCATATGGCAGACAATTTTGAAAATTACTTATAAAGTAGATTTTTATGTACTACATTGTTTTATGATTTTCTTTCGCTGTCAGTTTTAGTTTTAGGAGTTTCACTAGCTTAGAGGCTATTGTTAGATTCTTGAGAACATTCATTGCAACTGTGCTCTTGGTTAGTTTTGAAAACCAATTGCTGTGATAAAATACCATCCAAGGTAATTTATAAAAGAAAGTGTTTAATTTGATGTTCATGGTTACATAGGGTTAGCATCGATGAACATTATGATGGAGAGCAAGGTGGCAGGCAGGCAGGGATAGTAGCTCATACTTTACATCTTTTTACATACAAACAAGGCAGACAGAGATAAGTGGAAATTGCATGGGTTTCTGAAACCTCAAAGTTCAACTCTAGTGACACACATGCTTGAAGAATACCTTTTTTCCAAATCTTTCCTGAACTGTTCCAGGAACTGGGGATCAATCATTCTACTTCATAAGGATATGGCTGCCATTCTCATTTAAACTAACTCATTCCCATAAACTTATAGCCATATCATAATGCAAATTGCATTTAATTAAACTTCAAAAGGCACTATAGTCTTTCTCAGTATCATACACTTCCAAAGTCCCAAGTCTCTTTTGAGACTCAAGAAAATCTCTTAACTGTAACCCTGTGTAAAATCAAAACCAACACCAAATTATATACTTTCAATATACAATGCTCCAAAGCACATATTACTATTCCAAAAGAGAAAAAAGAGAACATAATGAGGAAATACTGGACCAGAGAAAGACTGAAATACAGCAGGTTAATCTCCAAATATTCTAGTTCTAAATTCAGGGTTAAATATCTTAGGTGGCTCTCCCATCCAAGTTTGAAGACTGCACACACTTTTCTCTTTGGGCTGGTTCCACTCTTCCCCATATGCAGATCTCATTGGCACATATCCCATGACTCTGGCATCTCCAACATCTTGGGATAACCAACATAATCCAGACATCATTTTGCAATGTCATGCAATGCCCACTTTGGTCTTCAATGTAGCAACTCCTCAGCAGCATGTTTGGCATCAGGAGCTACAGTTAGGTGAAAACAAACAGTCTGTAACCTTTTACTTCTGTATCCTTCCAGGCTCTACAGCCAGAATGATGTGAATGAAGCTGCCAAGTTGGCTGTCTGCTTGGGATGGAGCTTGGACCCATCTTTGAATTACATTTGTTTTTCTGTAACCTCTTAGTGTCAGAAAATCCCTCAGGCACTTTCCTTTCATAAATTGAAGAATTACCAGGGTAGGGTCTTAGCCTGGGGGCATCAGTCTTTACTCCATTTTTTTTTATCAGATCTCTCCTTATCATTTTGAACACAAGCTTTGGCTCCAACATTAAATATCCTGCTACTCCAACAGTACAGTTTATGTATATTTGCTTTGATTTTAGATCCCATGAGAGTTGTTAGTAATAACCTATCAATGAAATCAATATTAGGCTGTTTTGAAATCTCTATTAATGACCTTAGTCCAAAACTTTTCAATTTAGATTCAGACACATTTTTAGGACAAAAGCAGTCACATTCTCTGGCAAAGCATCATAACAATTTTTTCTAGCCTAGCTGCTAATACTGTTTCATTATGAAAACACTTGAGGTGGACCTCTGTCAATAAGGTGAATATGAGCACTACTGCATTCCAAGTTTAAACTGGGATGGCCCATTAAACCCTACCTAAAGCATTAAACTTTGTAGTTCAAAGTCTTCTATATGTCTCCAAAAAGCCAACTCCTGAAAATAACTTCCACCTTAGTTACTTTTCTATTGATTATATATATATATATAGTATATATATTTATATGTATATAATTTTACTGAGGTTTATGATTTCAGAGAATGAGTCTATGGCCACCTTGTATCAGGCAGCATGTCATGATACTGGCACAGTATCTGAGAGGTTATATATTGATACCTATATAGAGGCAGACAAAGAGAAAGACTGAGCCTGGTGTGCGCTTTTGAAACATCAGAGTATATCCTTAGTGACTCTTCCAGTAAGGCCACTCCTCCTAATCTTTCCCAAATAGTTTAACCACCACCATGGGATCAAGCACTCAAAATTATGTGCCTGTGGAGGCCATTCACATTCAAACAAACACTGGTAGTGACACTAAGGCATATAGGACCCTCAATATGTTCACTATAAAAATGTGCTTTTCTCCTTTAGGTGAGCTCCCAGCAGGCACAGAAACTTGCTGTCTGAACTTCATAGAAGATGCAGAAAGAAGAGTGTAAATGGCAATGGAATAGAAATAAGAATACTTAAAATCCACATAGAGGGATACTCTCTCAGCCGAGACACACGGGGGAGGGTCTAGGCCCTGCTCCAAATGATGTGACAGACTTTGAAGATACCCCATGGAAGACCTCACCCTCCCTGGGATGCAGAAAAGGGATTGGATAGGGTATTGATGGGGGTCAGGTGAGGAGGGGAGGGAGAGGGAACTGGGATTGACATGTCAAAGAAGCTTGTTTCTAATTTAAATTAAAAAAATGGAAAAAAAATCCCTGCTGCTATTTTAAATTTTGACTCTGTGATAATTCATAATAATATTATTCTATAATTATGGCCTAAGAGAAGAAAAGAATACTTTAGGGTAAGACTTCCAGAAATGGAAAGATAGAGTAGATAATCTTTTCTCTAGTCTCACCACAAACATGGGAAGATTCTAAACAGAAATCAGACCCACCAGCATTTCATGATGTAAGAATCAACATGCCAATGGACTCCCTGGTTCTGTGATTTTTAGCTGATGTGTATTATAACAGTACTGGAGAAAACAGAGGCCTCGGAATGCAAATATTTGCAAACTGGAAAAGCCTTAAAAATCTTTATCCCTTTAGGAATAAGAAAAACCTTTCCTGACAAGTACTGATATTTTAAGAAAATATTTTTTCCAGACAAACACTACAGAACATCCTCTGTAAATATTACTGTAACATCCTCTTCTCCAGAAAAAGGCCAAGCATGGAGTTTCCACTTGCTCTCTTACAGGTGAAGTGATTCACTCTGTTTCCAGAGTGGTGTCAGAGAAGGAACAGTGGTAGCTCAAGTATTCCTCGTTGCTGCCTGTAACACTATCCTTTCTCTATGCTGTATTTGGTTCACTACATATGGAGTTTAAACTTTTAAGCAAAAGTAGTGAGCTATTTCTTACTAATCTTCTTGTTTGTTTTCTGAGTAGGTGTCTTGGAGGGCCAGGATTTTCATTCCCACTTGTGCATCGGCGAGTCTACCCTCCACTCTTGCAGTGTTAATGATGGTCACAAGGAGGCAGTCAGGAAGCTATCTTTTGCATAGGCATTGTTAGCGGAGCCCTCATGGAAACAATAGGACTGATTCTCAATTATAACATTTTACTTCCCTTGAAGCAACTTTTAACAGGAACCAGAGTTGCTAGAGTTAGCTCCTGGGTCCCAGTGACTCTAACAAGCTAGTTGACTACCAATCTTCAACAGGCCAATTAAACAGATAAGATCTTGTAAAACAAAGGAAATTTATTCAATATGAGCACTTTTGAAAGAGGAACAAGGAAGTCCTTGTGTAAGGGCCTTTAACATGAGGTTTATGTTTAAATGAAAACAAGAGTTACGTAAAACCATACACATATCTGTTCAAAATATGTTACCCATCTCCACTGATCTATCAGTGTTATGTGTTCTAATGAGTTTTCATAACTATGGTAAAACTCTTTCCAGGAGACAAGCTATATTTCTGACTAGTGCCAGAGCCATAACCTTGCTGAATTTTGTTTATTTTTGTTGGAGATCAATGGGAATATCCAATTTTTTATTTTAGGTTCCATTATGTCAGTAATCTAATAGTCAAAGGGAAAGGCATTCATATCTGGAATGTCTTTTTTTCCAGAATGAACAGTACAAGCAAAAGTCAAATATCAAACCTGCCTGGGGAAAAAAATAAGACACTACCCTTTTCAGTTGGAGACCTGCTACACCACTAAGCTTGACTTCAAAGTTTCACAGTAACTGACCTATCTTCATTTTTTCCCCCTGAGCACTAGTTATACTGAGTGTTGTATTTTAAGAAAAGCAGCACATGACAGAAAGATACCATGTTCAAGCAGAGGGTTTTGTTCATTAAGGAAAGGGATCATAAAAAGTTTCTAGGGACAGGAGCAGCTGGAGAGAGAGGAAAGAGAGGAAGAGATGAAAAGAGGCTGACAGAGACAGGGGTGGGGTGGGGGGAGAGGGACAGCGAGGGGGAAGAGAAAAAAAGAGAGACAGAGGAAGATAGGAGGTGGGAAGGGTCCTTTTAAAAGGGAACATCGTGAATATTCACAGATGGTTTTCTCAGTGACTGCGATTGAGGGCATATCCTGTCAAAACCCCAAGGACAGGCGAGTACAGACACCTGAATACTAACACTGAGTATGAGTAGTATCTCAAATAATTGATAAAAGAAAACAAGCAGATAATAAACCTGAGATAAAAGCATTATAGCACTGCCTAAAAAGGATTCAATGATGACCTTCATGAATTGTTTTGTGTATGTAGTTTGTAAAGGAGAAAATGTCAATAAAATAAAGAGGCAATAAAAGAAATATATGAAAACTGTAACATTGAACAAAATACAGTAAGTTGAAATTAGAAATTTAAAAATCCCAGGTAAATAAGCTTCATAACAGAACTATTCTCAGATTAACTGTAACACACACTCCACCTAGCAGCAAAATTTCAATAGAGTTCTGCAACTTCAATGCTATCACTCAGCTTTATGGTAAAACAGTAAGACAGAAATCATATATAAGGAGATCATGATTCAGATTAAGCGATTTACTATTACAAGGCTTAAAAGTGCTCTGCCAAAAAACACAAGTTAAATCAGAAATGATTTCCTTTGTCTCATAATTCAGAGATAAAGTTAATAATGACAGGGAAATCATGGTGGTAGGGTGACAGGGAAATCAAGATGCTTGAGATCACATCAAGTTGCATGATATCCACACTCGGGAGGTAGGGAGTGATTAATGGTGATGCCCTGTTCCTTTTTCCCTTTTATTCAGTCTGATTCCAGCCTTTGGAAAGTTGGTGCCTATTATGGAGGTAGGTCTTCCCACCTTGATGTAAACTAGATTGTACCTCTCAGGCATGCTCACAAGCTATCCTCTAGGTGATTCTGAAATTTGGCAATCAATATTCAGCATTTGGACCTTGTAAGCAAAGAGAAACACAGATTTCGTTGTCATCTTGTGTTTCTTAAATTGCATGTAGAAGGTTAAGAAAAACAATAAACATATTTAAATAGTCCAAAGTGTATGCAAATGAAAAATTTAAAACAATTATGTCATAAACTGAGGAGGGTGAAGGCAGGTAAGAGAGATTTTATTACATAAAGTGATAAATGATCAAAATAACAGACTGTGGTAAGTTGTGCCTACATAATGAAAGACCTAAAGTTTTCTCGATAAAAGCTATTGATACAGATATAGTAAAACACTATCAGTAATTGGTAAAATTATAAAACACATTCTATGGTACCACATGAAGGTTACAAAAAAGATGGAACAATGAAATAGAAATGGAAGGAATAAAAACCAAACAAATACCAAAGGAGATTTTATTTTGGGTTATAAAACAATACACTGCAAATTTACCAGACTTTAAATCATGTGGAAATGTTCTTTTACCACAATGGATTCAAACTATAAATCAATAACAGGAAGCTTATCTGAAATTCTTCAAAGACCCAAAAAGACACTTGGTAAATAATCCATGAGCAAAGCAGAAGTCTCATGGAAGTAAAGCACACATTGTATTGAAAGAAAATAAAAATGTAACATGTCAAAATTTGCAGGGGAGGTAAAATAGCGCCTTTGTGGAAATGCATAGTGTTAAATGCTTAATTTGAGAAGAGAAAACATGAAAAAATGCTCTAAATCTGTACTTCATGAAAGGAGAAGTATAAAAACAATAATAAACCCAAAGGATGGAAATGAAACAACAAAGGGAAGGTAAATGTAGTATGTGTGAAACTAACAGAGTTAAAAGTAGGGAAAACCAATAAGCAGCCTATATAATTCTTAATTGTTTCATCCTTAATACATTCAATATGATTAGAAATCACTCAGTGTGGTTTCTTTTAGCTCCATACAAGAATGTAAATCTCAGAAGTCATCATAAGAAGCGTTTTGGTGCACTTGTTCACTTATGTAGCTGCACATTTAACAGAAATCTATAATTTCAAGTCCAAGACTTTCTAGATTTCCATATGAAAATATATTTAAAATATATACTAAATCCGGGAAATGCAAATCAAAACAACTCTGAGATACCATCTCACTCCTGTCAGAATGGCTAAAATCAAAAACACCAACGACAATTTATGCTGGAGAGGATGTGGTGGAAGGGGGACACTCCTCCATTGCTGGTGGAAGTGCCAACTGGTTCAGCCACTTTGGAAATCAGTATGGAGATTCCTCAGAAAAATGGGAATAAACCTACCACAAGACCCAGCAACTCCACTCTTAGGCATATATCCAAAAGATGCCCATTCATACAACAAGGATGTCTGTTCTGCTATGTTCATAGCAGCATTATTTGTAATAGCCAAACTTGGAAGCAACCTAGATGCTCCTCAACCGAAGAGTGGATAAAGAAAATGTGTTATATTTACACAATGGAATACTATTCAGCAGAAAAAAAACAATGGAATCCTGAGATTTGCAGGCAAATGGATGACACTAGAAGGAACCTTCCTGAGTGAGGTAACCCAGTCACAAAAAGAGAAACATGGCATGTACTCTCTCATATATGGATTTTAGACATAGATCTGGGGAGTGCTAGCCTACAATCCCATGACCAGAGAGTCTGGGAAACAGAAACTTCATTCAGTGGCTGATCGAAGTAGAGGCAGACTCACTCCGTTAAGCACTGAGCTGAACTCAAGAAAGCCAGTAACAGAGTGGGGGGACTGATGACCAAAGGGATTAAGACTGGGCTGGTTTAACCCCCAGAAACAGCTGAACTGACAAAGGTTAACTCTTGAATCCCAGGCATCAGGCTGGGAATCCAGCATGGGACTGATCAAGACCCCCTGAATGTGGGTGTCAGTGAGGAGGCCTAGGTAATCTGTTGAGCCTTGGGCAGCAGATCAGTACCCATCCCGAGTATACACATGGACTTTGGACTCCCATAGAACAATGTGAGGTGCACTCTCACCCTGAACTCTTGGGGAAGGGTCTAGGCCCTGCCCTATATGAAATGACAGACTATGGACACCCCCATGGAGGGCCTCACCCTCCCTGGGGAAATGAGGAGATATTGGGGGTTTGGGGGGAGAGCATGGGAGGAGGGGAGGGAAAGGGAGAGGGACCTGGAACTGACTTGTGAAGCAACCTTGTTTCTTATCTAAATTTAAACTGAAAAATAAATAAAAAAAGAAAGTCCTTAGTTTTAAAAGTTGTCTTTAAATTTTCATGAAGACTTTCTACCAAAGAAAACTTAAGGAATTTATGTTTTGACTAATGGATTAATCACACACACATGCATGCACACATATCTATC